ATATATATATATGTGTGTGTGTGTGTATGTTTTATTTTATTGTTGTATGTATAACATTGTTTTGAAATTGCTCTGATAACAATAAAGTTAATTTTACATTATAAAAATGTTTTATCGCCAAAATGGCAGCCACCTTGGAATTTTTTGTGATGACGTCATCATTCCGATTAAATTTTTTTAACGAGAGAGTGAAGAGTAACTATTTAGCCAAGTTCTAGTTACATTTGATATACATATAATATGTAAAAGTGACTAAAAACATACATTTATATCCTCTACCCCCATCTTAATTAGTCCAAAATAGGATATCTTATGTAAAAATTTCAAAGTGCTATAAAAAAAAAAAATGAATGCTCTAAGAATAGGGATTTTTTTCTGAGACACTATATGATATACTGATTCAGAAAAACCAAAAATAAATTTTCTTTTACTTTTTTCCTGCTAATTTCCTACTGCACCCAGGCTATTTGGCCTATTAAAAATGAAAGTTTAGAAGAGCTGGGAAATGAAATTTGCGATAATTAAGACCGCCGTTCAGTGAAATAGTAGGACCCAAAAAGTAGACCTCTTGAAATTTGGGAGGGGGATGCATTTTTTTTAAATGACTTCGCCCCAAAAAATCTTTTATTTTCTTCATTTGTTCATTCTTATTTGCTTATTTCTAAATAAAGAATGATCATGTACATTCTAAACTGTGTATACAAGTAGCCTTTGCTATAATAGTGAAAAATACCAGAATAATAAAAACAATATTTTTTTCCAAAATTTTGATTTTTTTTTTTTTTTTTTTTTAACCCAAAAATTTGGCACTTCGGTCATCCATGTAACAGCGCTCGACTCGTTTGACTAATCGATGTTCTTGCAATTAGCAATTCTAAGAATTATCGTCAGAGGAATCCGACCAATCAGGAGTCGTCATTACCAAGCAGATTCAACGCTGGGAATTTCCCCAAATTCAGAGAAGCCTCCTGCTCCTGTATGATACGTCAGATCAATGTTCTTTCTTTGGCTGGTGTGTTCTTTGGCCGCTTTCGTTATTGACGGCGGTGTGTCAGCAATCAAACACTTTTTTTTTTGTCTAGACAGAAAAAAAAAACACCTTTAATTTAAGGTAAGCTTTAACCAGGGAGATGTAACATCTCCCTGCTTAACTGTTTTCGTTGTTTGTAGGCTTTAGCCTAGCAGTGTGTGTTTGTTTGAATTCGATCCAACTCGGCCACAAGTCAACTCGGCCACAGTCAACTCGGTTACAAGTCAACTCGGCCACAAGTCAACTCGGCCACACGTTAACTCGGCCACAAGTCAACTCGGCCACAAAAAGTTTGGCTACAGTCAACTCGGCCACAAGTCAACTCGGCCACAAGTCATCTCGGCCACAAATCAACTCGGCCAAATAATGTCAAGTCACCTATAACCATAAGCCCTGTCTCTTATAGGTACTACATTGTACTAATTGTTATTATTATTGCTGTTATTATTGTTGTCATTGTTGTTATCATTATTGTTGTTTTTATTACCGTTAGTTTTAATATTAATTATTAGTCTTAGCATTTAACATTATATATTGTTCAAATTTTTGCTGATATTATTATTATTATTATTACATATATATATATAGTACATATATTTATAGTAATAATTTTCGATTTTTTATTATTGTTATTCATATTATTATTATAATTATATATTAGTCTTATTAGTATTATAATTTTAATAATAGTAATTTAAAAAGTTGTTGTTATTGGCGTTTTATTAGTATTTTTCTCATATTATTATTATTATTAATATTATTGTTGTTGTTGTCACCTTTATTATCGATATTATTACCCTATTATTACTAAGTAGGCCTAGTATTAAGTATCATTATTATTATTATTACTAATTAGTATTACTATTATTATAAAAATAAACATTATCTTTAATTCATTATTGTATTATTGCTATTATCACCTTCAATATCGTTATTATCACTAATTAGTTATTAAAATTGATATTTAAATATCGTTATTATTACCATACTAGTATTATTACTATTTGTTAAAAAAATAATACTATTACTTCAATCATATATTGAAGAAAAAGGATGCAAAAACTTAGATTTACATTAAATAAGTTGTTGTTATTGGCGTTTTATTAGTATTTTTCTCATATTATTATTATTATTAATATTATTGTTGTTGTTGTCACCTTTATTATCGATATTATTACCCTATTATTACTAAGTAGGCCTAGTATCATAAATCATTATTATTATTATTACTAATTAGTATTACTATTATTATAAAAATAAACATTATCTTTAATTTATTATTGTATTATTGCTATTATCACCTTCAATATCGTTATTATCACTAATTAGTTATTAGGCCTATATTATTATAAAAATAAACATTATCTTTAATTTATTATTGTATTATTGCTATTATCACCTTCAATATCGTTATTATCACTAATTAGTTATTAAAATTGATATTTAAATATCGTTATTATTACCATACTAGTATTATTACTATTTGTTAAAATAAATAATACTATTATTTCAATCATATATTGAAGAAAAAGGATGCAAAAACTTAGATTTACATTAAATAACTTGTGGCCGAGTTGACTTGTGGCCGAGTTGATTTGTGGCCGAGTTGACTTGTGGCCGAGTTGCAAAAGCCAAAATTTTTGTGGCCGAGTTGATTTGTGGCCGAGTTGACTTGTGGCCGAGTTGACTTGTGGCTGAGTTGACTTGTGGCCGAGTTGACTGTGGCCGAGTTGACTTGTGGCCGAGTTGACCTGCACCCTTTGTTTTGGTTCAGTGAATCCAACCGGTTAAACTTCAGAGCCAAATCCACTGTACCCACCGCGCACTCACTATAGTATAGTCTATACTGTAGGCTTACACTGTACTAGGCCTATTTCATTTGGCGCAGCCCGCCCAAGTCTAGTAATATCTGAGCTTTTTGATATGCTGTAAAATAGTACTTACATCTGGTGAACAACGTGTATAAGAGACAGTTCTAAACTGTGTATACAAGTAGCCTTTGCTATAATAGTGAAAAATACCAGAATAATAAAAACAATATTTTTTTCCAAAATTTTGATTTTTTTTTTTTTTTTTTTTTAACCCGGGCGAAGCCCCAGGAAGCTACGGATATTTGACGAATTTTGGTGAATTGTATTAGTTATTTTATATGCAACAAGCTATTTTATGATATGAATATATAATTGTTGTATTTTCCGACAAAAGTCGAAGTCAAGATTGCTTCTATCCACACAATGAATTATTCATCTTGTGAGTGATATCCTTGATATATGGCATTCCCTGACACAAATGACTAATTCATAATGTCCAGCAAAAAGTTTTTCCACTACAGTTTTTACAACCTAATACATTATTTACATTGCCAATGTACTATTCAGCTGTAGTTAACCTTCAGAGAACTTATTTTAATATGGCCTAATTAAGTATCATTGTTTTTGTTAAATTAGATATTAAAAATTAGAATTTAAATGTGGCTTATATTTGTTTACTGTACAGCCAATCAGTTACAC